CAGCTAGCACTCTTGTTCCCATCGGAAATCTCATGATCCAGGGCTCCACTCTCCATGTTTCTCTCAACATTCTTATCTTCCAGGATCCAATCATAATGGCCCCTTAAGAGCTTTCCTCACTTCCAATTCCAACCTCTTTCACATTTCTGATGCAGATCAATTCTAATGGACTAACATCACTTAGTCAAGTTTATCAAAACAGCCTGATCTCACACACACACACACACACACACACACACACACACACATATACATTTGTATCACTTCTTGTCCGAGCTCATTAGAGCTCACAGTTCAAGGTACAATGGATATGACAGGGAAGCAAAGACAACAGGAGCATGAAGCGGCTGGTCGCTCACATTGCATCCATGATCACCAACTGAAGGCAGTAAATGCATACCAATTCTGGGTTCCCCTTTCCTAGTAACATAGTCCAGGATCCCAGCCAAGAGCTGCCCGCAGCCAGAGTGGGAAGGTCTTCCCATATTAATTGATACAATCAAGATAATATCCCCCAGACATACCCGGAGGCTTTTATGGCAGGTGATTATAGATTCTGTCAAGTTGACACTTAATCATCCACAAAAGTTGACCCTATACCCAGAAGCACCAGGCAGTTTTCCAAGGTCCTTGCTGATTAAATTGTCAGGGACTTGCTTCTGAGAGAAATCTAGCTGAAGCCAGAGTGGAGCATTACATCACACTCAGCAGACAAGCGGAATAAGTGTCAGGAAGGATGTCGAACTTTCACAGACGCTGGTTTGACAGGTGACACTTATCAGCTATATGCATATAGCATAGCCAGAAAATCAGTACCGCTCCATATCATGTGCTAAGTTAGGTTCAAACGGTCTCTCTGTGCATTTTCTTCACTGTAACAATGAACTGCCTTTGTGTTTACTTGTTCCAGGAAGGAGAAAACTTTTTTTTTTCATCTTGAACAAACATCCTAAGGTTGTTAGAATAAGCAAGGTTGTTAGAATTAACTTGCAAAATGATTACCTTTGAACTCTACAAAATAAACAACCAGATTTCATCTCTCAGTGTTGCCACAGTTAAAACAAAGGTTTTGCACAGTAATCTTTTAATTGAAAAAGTCTTTTGCATTCATAACAAATACTTGCTACTACTTACACTAACTGGAAATCCTAATGCACTAACACATCCCCATCTTGTTCTAGTTTATTAAGAGTGAGAACAGGAGAGTGATAGGAAGATATTATTTTTACAGCATTATCAGGCCGTGTCCTTGCTTTTTCATGGAACAAGGAAAACAGGCTTCTCCTGAAGTTTCAAGGACAAAAGCTTTCACAGACACCATTTCTCAGAAGATTTCAGAATGCTGAGTAAGCGCAATTGTCGTACACCTTGCCTACTTCAGCTAAAACTGCTTCAGTGTGATCAATGTATCTAGCTTTAGAATAAGACTGTTAGAACCATGGCTCACACACACAATCCTTCCCGTTAAAGAATTGCTAACGATTGTAATTTATCATTCCAAGAAGACTTTCTAAGTGTGTTATCCACATTAATATTAATAGGTAAAAAGAAAGGGTATAGATTCTTAGGTAAATAGAAGAGATGTTTTGAGAAACTTAGCATTATGAAAGTTAGTAGGATACGTGAGATCAAGTGGAGTCTGAGAAAGTCTAAGAAAGAGCTATAATTGGCCGCCGGTGTTGAATGCATGCAGAGCCAATTTTAACAGATCTGGGAGAATACTTTGTTTCTTCTTTTGTCTTGTTGCTAGGTTCTGTGAACTTAAAGAAATCTTTGATAAAACAAAAAAAAAACAAAACAAACAGAATACAAACAAATAAACAAACAAAAAAACAAGACCTAGAGATCATACAAGACAAACAACAAACAATAATAACAAATGTGGAGGAGTTACCTGATTTTTAATGTTGCCAAAGCATAATATTTTATGTCTATTCTTCAGTGAGAAAAATATAAGAAAGTGTGGTCCACTCACAGGAAAAACAAAGATTAACAGAAACAATTCCTCAGGAAAAAATGGACAGAGGAATTACTAGCCAGTGACTTTTAATCATCTCAATGACTTTGGGGCAGAAATAGAACTTGTACCAAAATTCATACAGAATTTCAAGGAATCCTGACTATCCCAAACATCTTTACAAAGGAAAGCTGAGGGTTTTTACTACTGGATTTTGAAACCTGATGCAAATCTAATCAAGGGTGTAGGGTTGGAACCTCAGAGATGGCTCACCAGGGAAGAACCTGCACAGCGCTGGAAGAGAAGCTGAGTCACAATCTCAGAAACATGCGGCAGCTCACAGCCTCCTGTAACTTTGGTTCTGTGGGATCTCATGTTCTCTTCTGGCCTCAGCAGGCACTGCATTTACACACACACACACACACACACACACACACACACACACACAGACACACAGACACAGACATACAGACACACACACAAATAAAGATATATATTTTAAAGGAGTTCAAGCCAGGCATAGTGGCGCAAGCATTTATTCTCAGTGTTTCAGAGACAGATGCAGGTATATCCCTGCAAGTCTGAGCCCAGCCTGTTCTACTTAGTTTCAAGATAGCCAATGCTACATAAAAAGACTCAGTCTAAAAAGTTTAGTACTAGAAGATGCAAATGCATAAACTAATGAATGAGAATAGAAGCCATCAATGAGTGAAGGATATAAGGTTTTCAACAAATAGAATTAATTGTAAAATCTAGATTCCACATACAAACTAATGTTTAGCTTATACCATTTAACTTATATCACATACAAATATTAACTTTAATGGGATCAAGGGCCTTAAGGCAGGAGTTAAAGGATACAAATCTTGAGAAAAAACATCATAGGTGAACTTCATGGCATTTGATTTGGCAGCAGATTTTGTTTTTTGGACTTCTTATCAAAGTGATATGTAAGTTGAACTACATCAAGATTTAAAGCATCCTTGCATGAAAGCATACTGGTTGGATCCTCAAATTATCAAACACTTTAGTGACTCCATTTCTGGGTATATGTCCAAAATAATTAAAATCAGGCACTCAAAGAGTAATTTCTATACTCATGTTCACAACAGAATCATTTACAACAGAAAACAGTAGACATATGCCTACAGACTAAGAATGAGCAGACGAACCATAGCAAAGAATACATACCTCCTATTATTCACCCTTAAAAATAAATTCTGTTAAATGAAATCATTCAGTCATGGTGAGACACATATGGCTCCACCTCAATGAAGCAATGTGAAAATAGATTACACTATTTATAATTAATTGACTGGTTGATTAATTAGTACTAATTAATTTAAATTAATAATTATACAGTGCTATAGTAGCATAGTAGTTTTTGAGTGCTGGAGTTTATATGATAAGTTTTATGTTTTACATATACATATTTTTCAATAGTATTTAAAACTAAAGAAGAGAAAGAAGAGGAGAGGCAGAGGAGACAGTAGTGAATGTAGGCAGAGGCTGGAGTCACCAAACACAAGCCAAGGGATGCCTGCTCCCATCAGTGCTAGAAAACGCAAGCAGAGGCTACGCCTGGTGGTACAAATCTGCAATTCCAGCAACCTGGGAATCTAAAGCAGAAAAATGTAGCCTGTTTTGACTACAGCAAAAGCTCAAGAGCAGCCTGGGTACTTTAACACGACCTTGTCTTAAGTGTTTTTTTAGAGTAAAGCAGGATTGGTATACAGCTCACTGGTAGAGCAATAGTCTTGCATGTATATCACTATTAATTCAACAATTAATACCTCAATAAAAACAAAAGCAAGCAATGAGTCTTCCCTAGACTCCCCTAGAGAGAGTAAAGCCTCATTGACATCTTGATTTGGGATGTGTTGATAATGGTAAAAGAATCTGTCACTAATTTTAATACTGAAAACATTTCTATTCTTAATCTTTTAGTCTGTATTTTAAGTAGTTAAGTTGTTGTGACATTTACACACATGTATCATCACACCTGGCTTCATTGGTAACTTGCCACACTTGCAGTAATTTGCTAAGGTGGTCACCGCCGGTGATGGAGGAGTTAGTAAGGAGGGGGCGTAAAAAGAATGAAGGATTCATGGGGAAATAGGAAAGAGGGGTGTGCAACTGCCACCCAGGAGGGAGAGGGTGACTAAGTGGTGGGAACAGAGTGAGTGCATGAAATCATGGGACCCATTGTAAACTCGTCTATCTGCTCTAGAAGGCAGCTGATGAATCACAGAAACTTAAATTTGCCAAAAGTTACCTTTTATCCAAAGAGTACAAAGGGAAAGAGATGAAGGTTCCAGTCTTGTTTCTAAGGTATCAGTGTGACCAAAGAGCACACAAGCATGTGTTGTTTGCCTAAATGAAAAAAAAATCTGTTCATTCTTCTCATTTTCTTTCCAGTCTGATGAATGACAAATGCACACGTTACTGCTTATTACATTAGGTCATTCTTAAAATCTCATTTGAAATGCATTTATTTGCCTGTATTATGACAGTAGGCACTTGACATCAATTATCAGTGTACTGATTATTATAAGTATTTTTTCAACCAGAATTGCACGATTATTTCTTGCTGAGTGCTTTTCTATTACTGTCTCTAAGCTGTTCACATGCCTACCAACAATCTTCTTAATACTTGTACATTCCTGATACATTTCTCACGTATACCCCCGTAACCACCTTGTTCTTTAACAAAAGTGGTCAATACGAAAGAGAGAAAAGGAAAGAGAGAGAGAAAGACATAAGGACAAAAAAAGAAAAAGAAAAGAAGAAAGAGAAGGGAGAAAGCCCAAACTATTTCTTTTATGTTGCGAGTATGTTTTCTCTGGCTGCTTACTCCAGGCTGTCCCATGGGCTGCGTCTTCTGTGTTCAGACTTGTCAAACTTGTTTCATTTCAACTACTTGTCATTTGTTTCCGTATTTCTTCCAGGAGTAGATCTTTAAGACAGGTAGGGATGTCACAGAGCTGATTGGAAAGTCAAGTTCAGTGGGTGATACCTGCAGGATCCCTGCCTCCTATTCGTGATGTATCTGCACCGGTAAGTTCAGCTCGGTTTCTTTGGCTCCTGTTCCTTTGCTGTGTCTGTCTGAGGGGTAGACTCCCCACGCCAGAGGATAGCTGGTGAGGAATCTTTCAGGAATTCAAACTACATTTAAGCTTGAAAGATTTCTGGAGTTTTCACCGTGGGCTGGAGTAAGTAATCTCTGTTCAGAAATCAGTGTTTTGTATACAAGTCAGCATCAGTATTTATCTCATGTTTCCTAGTTCAATAGTAGGTCATTGGGACTGCAGTGGGAAAGTCAATACCACTTGGCCCTGCTTGATTCAGATCTGAGAGGGAAATGATCGTTTGTTTGAAAGCAGTCCTCATTGTTCCAACCCAACAGGCTGTTCCCTCAGCCTTTCCTCCTTAATATGTGTTTGGTTCTTGTGGAGTGAGGAAAATTAGGAAGTCATGAGTTTCAGAGACACCTGATCCATTGTAGAGAACCCTACATTTCCTGAGGAGAAACTGAGTTAGCTGGAGATCAAGACTGGTGATAGTGTGCTAACTTGCTAAAACTCCTTTTAAATCACAAGGAAAATAAAAATATTTTTTTAAAATATGATTTGCCACATTTAAAGAAGAAAAAAAAGTTGGTTTGATAATATACATATACATATATACATACATATATATAGTTGAGGTGATAGTATTTCACTTTTGTTAATATTTATGATCTTTCAGAAGTATTTTTACATATGTTATTTCATTTAAGGGCCTAGATAAGCCTGGTGCATTCAGTAGCACGGGTATCACTAAGGCCTAATCTAATAAACGAATCTGAAGACACAGAAGTTAGGAGACTTCTCCAGGCTCCCAGGGCCATCAGATGGTGGAATTTCTTGGAGTAGTACTAAACTATATAGTATGCAGTTTTATTGTTGAATTAGCATGTTCACCTTATTAACTTCCATCTCTCTAGATAGGAGGCACCATCCTGGGAAATTCAGATGTGAGATTTTTATATTAGGCAGCCTGCTAAGTCAGTGAACTTCCCTGGAAAACTTGCCCCCTCAGAATGCTTATACTTAATAGCAATATTTCGATCAGGGCTTTAGAAAAAAAAAATCATATAGCAACCATGGTCTCGGACACTCCTTGAAGAGTCAGGAGTACTTCACACATAGCCAACACCTCACCTGTTATAATAAATAAGAAAACCTGTGAACAAATAAGAAAGCAAACAACATGAGCATTTTGTGCTAATGTTTAACTTGTTTTTAAAAATTCATTGATCCATACCCAATCCTTATAGACAGCAAGATTATAAAGCAAAGTCTTATTATTTCCCATTTTTTTTTCTATTAAAATTATCAAGTCTTGTAAGTATAGGCACCAAAAGCTTTCTTTTATAGTGAACCATTATGCACCTATGAATTTTTACAGTTTAAGGGAAGTAAGTTATTGGAGTAATATTGATGTTCAATTGTCCCTATTTTAGACATTAATGAGACATTACTAGCAAAGAATAGTCATAGTAAGAAACACTAGGTAGCAGTCGTTGCTTTGAGTCAAATTCAGGAACACTAACCCAAAATGGAAGAAAGAAATCCTGCTGAGAGGCAGGCACAAGGATTAAGGATATGAAGATGCCTATTAATTGCTGTGATAGCCTATGCCAAATCTACAATCACCCTAAACTGCTTTCTACAGTTCTGTGAACTGTTTTAATTCTTACTTCTTCATGAACACAAAACACAATGGGAAGGCCTGGAAATGTGACATTTGATTGACATGCCTGTTGTTTGTTCTGTAATAAACCTGGATGTCTCCTCCATGGGGTCTGTAATCTCATCACTGTCCTTGGGCTGGCTTTAGTGGAACAAATTGCAAATTGTAGAACTCTCGTTTAGATCCCCCTCCCCCAAATAGCCATGCCCCCACCCTTTGAAAATCTTTATTAAGGGATTTCATTCACACTAAAATCTCATTTCTGTAATTTATGAAAGATAAGATATAATGCCAAATGAATTCTTCATCTGAAATTGGGATCAAGTTCTCAGAAGCCTGTACAACCCTCTCTTCTTCTAGCTTAATAAAAAGCAAAAAACTAAATTCATCTCTGGCCTGTTACCTTTAGAGGGAAAGGTCTCTCTGGATAAGTCCATTACAAATATTTGTGATTTATATTTTAATTTTTGGGTAATTGTTTCAGTTAACTTGCTAATTTGTTAAGTCTAGTCTCCGACACATCCTAAAACCATCTTCAGAGTTAAAATTACTAACTCGTAAATTATCAATCAAATATTATATTTTCTATTTTTTCCAGAAAAGTTGTGTGTGCACTCATTACATGCCTTCTACATCTCATTACATGCCTCTGTTAACTCATCTAATCCTTACTAGTGTGTGACTTAGCAACTCGGTTTTATAAGTGGGAAAAGTAACCAGCTCGACATTAGAAGCTAATAGAAAGAAAAGGTAGCGCCTGGATGTGAAGGCAAAGTCCAAGATTAACTAAAAGAATCTCCTTCTTTTCCCCTCTTTAATAATTTTTAATAATATTTTATGTTTTCTAATTCTTAATTTTTATGAAGCATTTATGATTTCATCCTCTCCACGTATCCATCTATAGTCAGTGGATTAAAATCAATATTTGTGTCATTGAGATTTAAGAGGTGACCTGAAAATCATTGCTTAGTTGTGCCTTCATTTCCTGATAATCTAGAACATATAGAGTAATATTTCTAATGTAAGACATATATATATATATATATATATATATATATATATATCTTACACTCAAGATTGTAGAATTTTATTATCGGATTATTACACATTAATTTATTTGTCTTTATAATAAGAACTATTATTTATTGCCTATTTCTTAAATACACATCAGTTTGAATCACTGTGTTTATTAGATTATTTATTCATTACAATCCTGATGGAAGCAAACCTCTGTGATCACCCTATTTTCATGAGAAGAAAACATGACCCTAGATCACAGCTATTCAATATCATGTTGTAAACCTGATACATCCATTCATATGTCTGAAAATCTTGGCCAGTGGCCAGAAATGGACCCACTAATGTTACCATCCAATCAGCAGATCTTGAATACTTTTTTATCTTGGGCTTCCACATTTAGTATCAAGATGGTCTGACTGCAACCAGCCAGCTGGAATCTACGTGAACAAGGCCTTTCCTTCCTTTAGCTGGCTTTATTAGTGAAACTCTAGCACGAAGGCTGGTCTCATCAAGCTGTGGCAGCAAACACTTGAAATCATCTGCATCAGTGGTTCTCAACCTTCCTGATGCTGTGACCCTTTAGTACAGTTAGTTCCTCACGTTGTGGTGACCCCCAACCATAAAATTATTTTCTTTGCTACTTTGTAACTATAAGTTTACTATTACAAATCATAACGTAAATATCTGGTATGCAGGCTATCTGATATATGACCTCTGTGAGAGGGTTGTTTGACCCTTAAAGGGGTCACAGCCCACAGGTTGAGAACCACTGACTCGTATGAGAACTCTCTGTCCAGAATAGGACTCAGTATATGCTAGAGCCCTTCATTTGCTCATCCAAAGCTTTCACACTCAGGTTTATTATCTCCACTTAACAGAGGGCAGGAAACTGATGCAGACCAGATTGTGAAAACTTCAAAACACACACCACACCACACCACACCACACCACCGCATCACACTACACCGCACCACACAAACATTTCTTACCCTAAAAGCCAAGTTACTATCTCCATATAAAAATGCTTATAGAGTGTTGTTCCATGCAGATGGAGAATTTTAGAATGTTTTTAAGTGCTTAATTTTCATATTTTCCAACAAAATGAAGCTTTGTTATATTTGTACTATTTTAAACATTTACAAAAAAACAGTTTGCAGTTCTGAATTAGTTTGAATCTCACAGCTCTCAAAGGTTGTACCCTGAAGCTGAGTATAGCAGCATATGCCTATAATGTCAGCACCTAGAAGAGAGAGGCAGGAGGAATGTGTATGTTCAAGTTCAGCCTGGACAACACAGTGAGACTCTGTGTCAACAGTTGAAGAAAGAGTTGTAATATGCATTGCATGGGTTTAAAGTTCATGATGTATCCATCCTTACTTCCCCAAACTCACCATGATGTTTAAAACACTTTACTAAGTCTCAAGAAAGGTTGTAAAAAACATATTCAAGTGGATAAGTAGACAGAAACACAACGAACATTGCCAGATAAATTTTAAAAACAAACAAAAGAATAGAATATATTGTTGTGGCTGGTTAACTTCTTAGAAGTAGCTTTTTAGAATATATTGTATTGTACGGTGCTACGACACAGATATTTGCATAGAAAGAGTTCATTCTTAGTACATGAATAACCATTCAAGCCTGATTCTTAATCTTCAATCTAACACATCCATTACGTACTTTAATAGAGGAAAGTAAAAAATATGTCAAGAGTAAGTGTGCACATGCACACACATTAACACATAGGAACATTAAGTGTTGCTTATCTTTTGGGGGAACTTAGAATGTTGTGTAAGCTTTGTTTAAGCCTGTATGTTTAATCCTTTATTCTCCTATTAATAGCACACATATTAAATAATATCTTGATTTTATTGTGTCACTTGTACCACAGTAGAATACATTTTTATCATTGATTAATTTGCACTAAAAATATTCTGGGTAGTTTCTGATGTTCAATTTCTGTAAACCCCCCTTCTTTGGGGGCAACTCTAAGGTGATTAAAATTCCAGAGTGTTTCTGGTACCAAAATTCCTTCCAATATCCTCATAATTTAATGCTCTTTTTTTTTCTCAGAATGGCTGATTTCTATTGTGTATAATTACAATAACAACAAATTGACTCACAGCACTCACATCTGTACGGTACTTACTGCGGTGGTTATAGTAGGAACATCCTCAGAGACTCATGTGTTTGAAAGGTCGGCTCACATGGAGTGACGCTTTTAGGGGGTGTGGCTTTGTTGGAATAAGTATGGCTTTGCTGGAGGCAGTGTGTCACTGTGGAGGTGGGCTTTGGGGTCTCAT